CCTCCTCCTCCTCCTCCTCCTCCTCCTCCTTATCCTCCTCTTCCTCCTCCTCTTCCTCCTCCTCGCCCTCCTCCTTCTCCTCCTCCTCCTGGCCGTGCCGATGACCCTCCTCCCCTCTTGCCTTCGCAGTGACTGGGGACGCATGGGGCCCCCTCCCAGGATGCGTGCAGGCACCCGACGAGCATCCCGACCGGGCGGGCTCGGGCGAGGGGTCGGGGCGACAGAGGCTCTCAAGTGTCTTGGCCCCCCCACCTGCAGCACAGCCTTCTCCCACAGCACGGTCCGACTGGATTGCTACGCCACCCTCGCTTGTCCTCGCCGTTGGACGATTGAACCCGATCGCCAGCCTCCCAGCTCGCGATGGATCACGTGCAGGCGCATGGCGGTCCACCTTTCGTAGCGCGATTCGGTTGGATCGGCACGCGGTCCTCGCCTGCTCTCGCAGTTGAGCGGCTCGACCGGATCCCCAGCGCTCCCAGCTCTCGATGGATGCACGTGCAACCGCATTGCAATCCAGAGCCCCCTTGCAAGAATGGGCCATGCGACCGCATGCTAAGCCTGCTTTTGGTCCTACTCGCTTTCACAGCGCGATGCGACTGGGTCGCAACGTCGCCCTCGCCTGCTTTCAGAGTTCCGCAATTCGACCGGACCGCTACCCACCAGCTTTCGATGGATGCGCATGTATCCGCATGACACCCCTTTCCATGGGTACTAAACGCAACTGAGTGTTGCTTTCGGCCGTCGTCGGCCGTCCCGTCAGGGTTAGGCTATGACCCTATTCTCCTTCACAGCGCGATTCGGCTGGATCGCTACGCCATCCCCGCCTACCATCGCAGCTGTGCGATCCGACCAGACGGCCAACCTGCTTAGCTCTGCGATGATCCAGATCCCTTTGGAGGTACGCCCCTTCTCTGGGTCATGCGACCGCACGTGAGTCAGCTGTCGGCCGCCCCGCCAGGTGTTCGCTGGGACCCTGCCCTCCTTCACAGCGCGATTTGACCAGTTCGCTGACCACGCTAGCCTTTGATGCCTGCGTACGTAACCGCTGCTCGCATGGCAGTCACAGCGCGATTTGAGTGGATCCCTACGCTGCCCTAGTCTAC